AAGGCGCCACTGGCAGGGCTCGCACGGCGGCTTCGGGCTATTTGGGCACACCCCGCCGGGCGGAGAGCGCAGGGGAGAGACGAGGGCGGCGGCGCTCCCAAAGGCCTCTCGCTCGCGGGGGCGGCGGCCCGCGCTCCGGCGGACGACGGTGGGCGGCGCCAGCGGGAGTCGAATCCTCGATCCTCGATCCTCGAACCTCGAATCTCAATCCTCGAATCCTCGAACTTCTATCCTCGGGGGCGGAGAAGGGGACGGAGAAGGGGTGGGCGGGCGGGCCGGAGGAGATGAGGGGGGGGGGAGGGGTGGCAGAGCGAAGAGGAGCCCGCGCTTCTGCGGACGACGGCGGGCGGCGCCGGCGGGAGGAGGGGCGCAGGAGGGGATGGGGGAGGGGCGGGCAGGCGAGGCGGAGGAGATAAGGGAGGGAGGGAGGGGAAAGCAAGGAGAAGGGCGACGGGGGCAGGAGGGAGGGCGGAGGAGGGGGGATGTCGGGAGGAGGTGGAAAAGAAGATGAGGGTGAGTCCCGAAGAGGAGGACGAGGATGAGGAGGATGATAAACAGCCAACACACAATGATTGACGGCATCGCCCAACTGGCAGACGTAGATGTGGGTTGATCTCGAAACCCTGGATCCCCGACATATACCTTGGGAGGGCTCATTTTGACTCCGCGAGCTTCCACTGGAGGAGACGAGCCCATTTCGCTTCCGCCGATCTTTCGCCTTCTGCCATCCTTTTGCTGGACCCACGCCGAAGAAGTGAAGTCCTTTTCCGGACCCCTTGAAGGCGACGCCCCTTGAAAGCGAGGCCCTAGACGGTGAGACAACCACCGTGCTGGCTGCACCATAAACATAGCGACAGTGTCCGTTTCTCTTAGCTGTCCTGTCTTTTCTCTTTTCCTGTCCCGCTGTCCCGGGCTCAAACCGCTGCCATTGAAGATCCGCCGCCTTAACATAATTTGGTAAGAACGGCACATAAGAAATCCATTGGTAAAGGCTGTAGCATAATTATGTGATAGTTAAGTTCTCTTGCGCGATCGCCAAACACATAATGACTATGTCAAGGCTGTTACACAATGGTTTTATTTGCGGAGGGCACTGCAGATCCCCCCCAAACAAATCCTGATGTGAAGGCTGCTACAACAAGGATTTCTTTCGCAAGAGATCCGCACCAGTAGCAGCACTAGCAGGCTTTCCCACATGTCCCATATTTCCGATGTGAGATACAAGGTTGTTACTGGTTGTCCTGCTTATTTTCGGTTTTCGTTCTGTGCTTTCTGGTCTCAAGGCGCCGCGACTGCAGATCCCCCAAAACCCTTTTGTGTAAGACCGCCACAACAAACATCCTTGTGTAAAGACAGATACGCCAGGATTTACAGTGTGGAGGCCACTGCGTATCCGCCACGGATGAATTTATTTGGGAACGCCGCAGCAAGAAACGAATCATCGTGTCAAGGCTGCTGCAAAAAGTGTTTATCGCCTGCACCATACAAATGGCGCCAACCAGAGGAAGTGAAAGCATCAATTGTTTCATAGGTTCCCTGTCTTTCCTGTTTACATCTCTAGCGTTCGTGGCCTTAAAACGACGCCATTGCAGACCACCCACATTGACCTTGTGAGGGGTCTGCGGGACATTAATCCTTGTGTAGAGGCTGCTACACAAGAGTTTCAATGATGGTGGACAGCAGACATCCTCTGGCAAACAATGTCGCACGTCGTCCCTCTGCGCGGCCGCCACAACATACATGATCCAATACTGCCGTCACTGGGAGCCAGCTAGATTGGGTCCGAGTAGCTGGGACCGGAGGACCGCGCAGCATCACCAAGGCATCGGCGATGCATTAGCGACGTCGGCGACGCATCGACGCATCGGCGCCGTCGGCGTGCGAAAACACGGGCTCCACTTCGAGCCGCATCGTCGATGCATCGGCGATGCGGCGCGATCCTCCGACCCCATCTACTCGGACCCTATCGTGGGAGCCCAGAGTCACAGGGTCATTACACGCAGGAAGAATACACCAATGATGATCCATAGCGTGCCAACCACGAGATGCTCGATCAATGAGCACCATGAGTAAGGCCATCAAAGGCCATCACACGCAAGAGGAATTAACCGATGACCCATGGCGTGCCAACCACGAGGCAATCGATCAACGAACGCCGTGAGTAAGGCAGCCACAGGGTCATTACACGCAGGGGAAATACACCGATGATCCATCGCGTGCCAACCACGAGACAACCGATCCACGAAAGCCATGTTGTGATCACTCAGACAAGTTAGGGCCGTCACAGGGTCATTACACGCAGGGGGAATACACTGATCCAGAGCCTCCTCCTGCCCCTCTTCCTCCTCCTCCTCCTCCTCCTCCTCCTCATCCTCCCCCATCCACAGTTACACAAAATGAATACTACTCTCCTCTCCCCCCTGATGACGTCCAAGAGATATGCCCCCCTCCGCGTGCTGCTTTTTTACACACAGGATTCCAGGGAGTTGGGTTTTCGCTAGCGTTTTGCTTCAAAATGCTGCTTCCCCTGAAGCGCTGGCCCCATCTCTTCGCCTCTGGTTGTTCCAAATCGTGCTCTCGCTGCAGCGCGGGCGTTCTCGGTCCTTCCAAATGGCACCACCATTAAAAATGCCCCCGCGAAAAAAACAGCGGAAGTGATTCCACATTCGGTGTCGATTCGTTGATGCCGCAGAAGCCCCCCCACTTTGGGGCGTCGCCGCTTTCAGGAAGTATAAAGTGGGAGCCCCGTTTCTGCTTTGAGAAGGCGATGTTGAAAGCAGGGCCAGCGGGTGCTCTCCATCAGCTTCGCCTTGTGCGGAGCTTTTCGTGGAGCCCAAAGGTTAGACATGGAGCCACGACTCCAGACCGGCCCAGACCTCTCGAAGACGATCCACTTACCCTCCAAAGAACCTGGCGCCATTCCATGACATTATGTGTGGTGTTGTGTTCTGCACCGCTGTGCGATGCCATGCTTTGCGTTGCGCGTAATGCCACATGGTATGGCATGCTACGCTCTGCCGTTCTCTTCTACGCTATGCCATGCCCTGCTCTACCATGTATCGCGTACCCTCTGGCGATCATTGCCCTGCTCGACATCCGACTGCGCGAATAGAAAGGACATCTACGCCATGGTAAGGGATGGAAGGGAGGGGTAGGACGTCAGATATGACGCGAGCGCACCTGGTTTGTCATCCCCCCCTCCTCCTCCTCCTCCTCCTCCTCCTCCTCCTCCTCCTCCTCCTCCTCCTCCTCCTCCTCCTCCTCCTCCTCCTCCTCCCTCTCCTCCTCCCTCTTCCTCCCTCCTCCTCCTCCTCCTCCTCCTCCTCCTCCTCCTCCTGCTCCCTCTTCCTCCTCTTCCTCCTCCTTCTCCTCCTCCTCCTCCTCCTCCTCCTCCTCCGCCTCCTCCTCCCCCATAGCGTGCCATGATCTGCAGTGTGCCAACCACGAGACAATCGATCCACGAACCCCGTGCTGCGACCACGCAGACCAGAAGAAACAATCGGGCGGGGGGGGGCATGGCGGCAGGCCGCCGCGGGAAGAAGAGTGTGCGAGGAGGCACTGAGGATGCGAAGGGGGGGGAGGAGGACGAGGAGGAGGGAGAAGAGGAGGGGGAGGAGTGAGGAGAGAAGAGGAAGAGGAGGAGGAGGAGGAGGAGGAGGAGGAGGAGGAGGAGGAGGAGGAGGAGGAGGAAGAGGAGGTTGAGGAAGAGGAGGGCGAGGAGGAGCCGCAGGAAGAAGAGGAGGAGGAGGAGGAAGATGGGGCAGCTTTAGCAGCGGCATCGAACGAATGCTTCTCAGCCGCCTCGAACCCCGCCTTGAACACAGCCCGCGCGGCGTCGATGCAGGGGGCTGGTGCAGCCCTTGAGCATGTGCAGCTTGGCCTCGAAGCGCCTGATCTCGACCAGCAGCCCCTGGCCGCCGCCGTCGTGTCGACAGCCCTGGCGCCGGCGTCGTCGCCCTGCTCGGTGCAACCCGCGCCGGGGCCTCCGAGCTGCCTCTTGAGCAGGGCGGGCGGCCTCGTGGCTGGCCGCCGAGGGGCTGCACCCCGGCTGCTGGTGTGTCCTGCTCTGTCCGGGGCGGCGGCTTCCCGGAGGCGGCCGCGCGCCAGGAGGGCGGCCAGAGCGAGGGCACGTTGCCGCCGAGAGAGGCCTGCTCGTGTAACAACTGGCCATCGCTCGGACGTCCATTCCCTGTGTTTTTTTTCGGTTTCGTGCATGGTTTTCTCGCCAGATGATCAAGGATGCTCCTCGATGATCAAGGACAAATGCACACGTCTGAGCGATGCCAAGACAACCCTGGCACATGCGACTCGTGCCCCAATTGGTGAGCGGCCGCCCCGTGCGCATGTTTGCGCACGGGCGGCAGGAGCAGCCCCGCCTCGCGCCCTGAGCCGGGGAGCGCCCTGCATAATTAGCTGCACCGTGCGGAGCGGCGCCGAGAGCAGGCTGAGCGTATTGAAGATTGGCCGCGGACTTGCGGCGTCCACTTGCTCCCCTTTGAAACTCTTAGTCTTGAGCCAAAGCGGCAACGGTCGGTGGGGAAGAGGAGGAAAAGGGGGAGGAGGAGGAGGAGGAGGAGGAGGAGGAGGAGGAGGAGGAGGAGGAGGAGGAGGAGGAGGAGGAGGAGGAGGAGGAGGAGGAGGAGGAGGAGGGGGGGAGGGGGAGGGGAAGGAGGAGGAGAGGGCGGTGCCGACGCCAGAAGGCACGCTCCGGCATTTCAGCACAACTGTATCCAGCCTGAAGAAAAAGAGGTGCCAGCGCCGAGCAAGGCTGGCCGGGAGCAGGCGCGTCTCGGCCGAGCTGGCCCACGGCTCGCCGCGTGGTGGCCCAGGCGAGAAGCGGGCTCGCACGCTGCGAGGCCGTGAGCCCCGCGGCGAGGGGCTGAGCGTCCCCTCCTCGCTCTCATCTGCCGAGAGGCGAACGAACCAGGCTCGCTGTTGGCCACCCTCGCGTCCCTTCCAAACGAGAACCAGCCGATACCAAACTGCCCGTGGGTGGCCCG